GTTAGTGCTACCTCCATGAAGAGTCTTGCCATGACTACTTTTTCATTCTTAGGCCGCTGTTAACTAACATGGATTTGCCTTCTTCAGTAAATCCAGCTTCCTTGTCCAATATGGGCAAATATTGTGGTACAGTGAACCCTCGCCACTTCGCGCTTCGACTTCCGCGGCTTCACTCTATCGCGGTTTTTGCGTAACAGCGCATGCTCTGTCATTACTGCCACTGATTGGCTCATACTGTACACGCTTGATGCCATAAATAATATAATAAATAATAAATGATCATTGTAACGTCCAAAATGTTTTACTGTATTTTCCCTTTTTCGTTTAATAAATTGGGTAATACGAGTGTAATGGTGACTAAAGGATGTTTTTTCATGTCCTCTATGCTCTAACTACGAAAATATTTGATTTACAAATAAGGAATCCTACTTCGCGGAATTTCATTTATCACGGTAGGGTCTAGAACCGATTAACCGCGATAAACGAGGGTTCACTGTACTTACCTGTCTCCTCTGTCTTTTGGGTTACTGCTGCAGGTTTTCCGGTCAGCATCTCTAATATTGCCCTTGGGTTTCCCATGGCACTTCACTTGGTACCTGGATCATAAATGGTGCCTGGAATGTTGTTTTCATTTGGAGGTTTAATTGCTCTCCCGCACCCTCCTCGATGCCTTGTGCTTTTTAAAGACGATTCTATTCCCGGAGGGTGAGGGTGGAAACATAGTGAAAAGGAAGAGGCTTCTAAGAGGTAGAAAGGAAATTCCCATTCTTTCAAACATAAATATTTTAATAAAAGGAATGTCACTATTATCTTTTCGTCGATCTGATTACCACTAATAAACTTTGTTCACCATACATTTGCCTATTGTATTTACTTCAGAAATGTGAGATCATACATTATTTGTCCTTTTATCCATTCTAAGTTAATTCATTTTGTTTATCCGTCTAATGATGAAAATCTGTTGTTCCTGCCTTTTGGTTACTGTCCAAAGCACAGCAATGAGCAGCGATGTGCAGGGTTCGCTCTGTGCCTTCACTCTGGGTGTGCACTCGGGATTGGGGCTGCTGGATCATATGGTAGTACAATGTCAACCTTTAGAGTAGGTTCCAAGTTGTTTTCTACAAAAGTCCCACCATTTTAAAATTCCACCAGCAGTGGATGAGGGTTCATAAACTTTTTTTTTTGTGCTGAAACAAAGAAAAAACCCAGTAGTCTACTTGATGTAAACCTCAGACACACTTGCATCATGGTGTATTATACTGTTAACACTAGAAACCCTTGGGAAGAGGTAGTGCCTTGCGTGGGATTTATAGCACAGAATGACATCACCATGAGTTTTTACACTTGATCTTAGCCAAAAGACCGAGAAGTGATTCACCGTGAGTTTTTACAAGCATCACACACCACACACATGCATGTGCACACAAGCATCCACCCACACACAAGCTACACAGATGTTGGTTAATTAATATTAGCAATTTCCCCCTTGGCATCCATCTTTATCTGATTATTTATTTATGATATAATTAAAATATAGTGAACTATTTGTGCAATTGCCACAAATGCATAGAATCATGTAACCCACTCTCCTAGCAAGAGACAGAATATTTCCATATTCCCAGAAAGTTCCCTTGAGATGCGTACCCAGCAGTCTCCTTTTCACAAGTACTCTCACATTTGTAGGTTTCTAGTTCCAATTCATCTTCAGATCTGAAAGTATGTAGGTTAAAATAACTAAAGATAACTTTAGCTTATTAATTATCATTCATGAAATGTTCTTTTATCTGTTTTTATATAAACTTAAAAATGAGATAGGAGAGAAGATCATTGCAAATTATTACTAGGGTCTGTCTCTATTTATAGAATGCTTGCATGGATTGTTAATGTGAGTGTTACTTTTGATTAAAAATAATGGGTCCCTCACACTATCAACATTATAAATTTGAGGAAAGTGCCAACCCAAAGCACCCAGGGGTCCCCAATGTAGCTTTTGCATTTAGCAACTGGGTAGGTTACTGGTTCATCTGTGAAGTACGGAAGCACAATGAAACCTGCTCTGCTGACGGGACCCACAAGAGGCTGTGATAGCAGCAAGCCAGAGTGAGAGTTGTGGGTGCTGGCACTTCTGACCTTAGGACGAACTTGGAAAGTGGTGGGCTTAGCGAGGGTGAGCAAGAAGGAAGGTTGGGATGGATGGGATGGAGAGGACAGCTTGTCAAGCAGCTGGAGCAGAGATATCTTGGGTCTCTAGTGTTGGTATCGCAGAAATACCACAGTGGATTTTTCAACAAATAGAAATTTATTTGTTGTTAGTTTAGAACGCTAAATCCAAATTCAGGCTCCTCATTCTAGGGGAATTTTTTTTTTTTTTCTCTGTGTAGGCTCTGGAGAGATGTCCTTGGCTCTTTATGTTCTGCTTTCTTGTTCCGTGGAGATCTCTATGTGTCTTGGTGCCTCTCTTACTCATGTGTCTTGGCGCCTCACTTACGCGTGGGTCTAGGACAGCGGTTCTCAACCTGTGGGTCTCGACCCCTTTGGGGGGTGTCGAACGACCGTTTCACAGGGGTTGCCTAAGACCATCGGAAAGCACATAAGTATTTCACAATATATAATTACATATTGTTTTGTGATTAATCACTATGTTTTAACTATGTTTCATTATGTTCAATTTGTAACAATGAAAGTACATCCTGCATATCAGGTATTTACATTATGATTCATAACAGTAGCAAAATTACAGTGATGAAGTAGCAACAAAAATAATTTTATGGTGTGGGTCACCACAACATGAGGAACTGTATTAGGAAGGTTGAGAACCACTGGTCTAGGAGGTTCTCAGCTTGGGGATCCTGGGTCCAAAGGACAAGCTCTATTTGTCGCTCTTCTTTCATGGGGGTTGTCAGGTCACTTCTCTCTGCTAGCGACTCTCATTTTCTCTCTTAAAAGATGAAAGGTCTGGCTCCCTCAAGGCTGTAATTTACGAAGGGTGGTAACTTGAGTAAGGGCATGATTGAGTTAAGAATGGTGACTTGAGTAAGGGTGTGATTGAGTCACACCCTCTTCCCAGGCTGTGACTCAAGATACAATCCACTCTAATCCTGCCTTATTAACACAAAACCCATTGTTGGATCAATTCAAACGTATAACCCCTCTCGGGAGGGTTTCCGTGCCTGTAAGTCTTTACAGGAGCTGACACCTTTATTTTCCTTCTGGGTTTGAATTGCCAACCTGTGCTTAAAAGCCCAAGGTCTAGCCCTAGTGCTGCTCATTAACACACAGAGGCTAGAATTTAGAGCACATATCACGAGGTGCTTAAGTATATCAAATTACAAAATGAAGGCCAACTATACAATACTGGAAATCATGGCCTAGCAAATTTAACAGATGTTTTGGGGAGATACAGTTCAATTGTTAAAGAGAGATTGAGCAGGGTGCAGTAAAGCACTGATGAAACACGCAATACAGTACTCCTCTGGCTCCTGAGGCTTCCTCACCCCCCACTATCATGAACCTAGTACTGCCTTTCACTGTGGGTTAGCCCAGAGCATGCACATAGGTACAGCTAACAGATAAGAGCCAGGACACCTGGAATTAGGAATGGGAGTATTGATTCCAGAAGGGTAGGGGAAGGCGGGGAGGGGAGGGGAGGAAAAGGGAACCGATCTCAATGATCTATAGATGACACCCCTCCCCCAGGGGATGAACAACAGAAAGAATGGAGGAAGGGGAGACCGCAGTCAGTGTAAGATATGAAAATAATAATTTATAATTTATCAAGGTCACGAAGGCGGGGGTGGGGAGGGAGGGGAAAAAGAGCTCATACTAAGGGCTTAATAGGAATAAATGTTTAGAAAATAATGATGGAAACATATGTACAAATATGCTTGATACAATTGATGTATGGATTGTTATAAGAGCTGTAAGAGCCCCCAGTAATATGATATTTTAGTTAAAAAGAGAGAGAGAGAGAGAGAGAGATATTGAGGACATGGGAGAGCATGATCCCATATGTGGAGATGGGGTGCCATGATCTGATTCTATATGGTGATTGTTTTCCTGAGCCCAGGACCTTGGTGAGGAGACTCTTGGAGACTAGGTGGGCATAGGGCTACTGGCCCCCAAAGTATCCAGCACAGGAGAAAAAACTTTCCTGCACAGGTCTGGGGGCCTCAATGGAGAACTGAGTAGAAAAACCCTGAGTTTGAGGTTGGAAAGCTTCTGGTTTTAGCCAACCAGAGTTATAATCATTTTGAAATCAATGAATAGTGAACAGATGTTAGCAAAGGGTTAAGGAACATGATCCTACTAATCCTGACATTTAAGGTCAAGGGCAGAACTGACCTTCTGGTTATGAGGGCAGGTCATGTGGTTTGAGCTTGGGTAATGAGAGGGTTAGGGGACAAAGCTTTCTGGAAACCCAGGGTGGCATTTCCCCTATTGCATCACTTTTGGGGCAGATGCTGGTGTGTAAGAGTGCTGTTTGTGTACCTGAAAACGGACTTGAATTCCTGCCCTGGATTAAACGTACAGTCTATGGGGCAAGATTAATTTCCAGCAAATAAGAGTTTATGGAATGCACTGAGTACTAAAAACAGGAGGATCTTGTTTTCATCAGGTCTTTTCAGCAGCCTGGCTATGGTGCCTAACCTTGGCTGCACATTAGAACCATCCATGGAGCTCTTAAGAGACAGGATCAACCCTGGGTCGGTTGAGTGGGAGTCTCTAGGTGGGCCTGCTTCTGCATCTATAAGCTCTTGGGATGTTGCTAATGTGTCTGGAAAGCACTGCTTTACTTGCAGGGGATCACCTTGCTCCTTTGAGCACATCTTTGCAAAGTGATCACTTTTCTTTTCTCAAGTCTGATAAGCACCTCTTTTTGCAAGGAGGTGGAAGACCTCACCACTGACAAGTGAGAAGCATGGCAAACAAGATGCTCTACTGATTTTATGATATAAAGTAACATATGTATTGTCCATAACATCTTTTTTTTTTTTTTTTAGTCAATTGCTTGGATAAGCATGTTCAGAAGTCCCCGGAGAGTATTGCTTTGATCTGGGAGCAAGATGAGCCTGGTACTGAAGTGAAGATTACCTACAGGTATTATGTGTCCCCAAAGTTATCTATGGTGACCTTCTCATTTAAGCATCTGACAGATAACCTGTGCCTTTTTGTAACTGTGTGATGAGGAAGCCACATCAAATTCATCAGCTAGAACAAAACTGCCCAGATGGCTCTCCTTATTGATTTCACTTGGCAATACTAAGTGTATTCAGATTTCAGTAGAAGGAACTGGATCTTTTGAGAGTAGTCCTGGTGGCATAGTGATTATGCATTGGCCTGTGATCCGAAAGGTCAGCAGGTCAAAACCATGAGCTGCTCCATGAAAGAAACACAGGTCTTTCTACTTCTGTAAAGAGTTAATCTCAGAAACTCACAGTTCTACCCTGGTCTATAGGTCCTAGGAGTTAACAACGACTCAATGGTAGTGAGGGAAAGAGGTCTTTTGAAATTAGTTCTAGCAAGTGAGTGGAACAAAAGCTCAGAGCAGAGGGAGGCATTTTGCCATCGTCTCGTGTGCCTGTGTCTGGTTTGAGAGTTGTTAGAATATCAGGGAGCCTGTTTGAGCTTTGGAAGGGTCCTCACCTTCCTGCAAAGCAAACACAAATGCAAGCAGATTAAAACACACACTAGAGTAAGAGTACCACTCCACCCGGTCACTTACTCTTGTGAGAGGGAGAAAAGAAATAAAGCTGAGTGGCGAGCAAACCCACAAGGGAGAGCCTCCATAGTAATATTAGTCATACTAGCCACAACAATGAGCTCATACATACCAACGGTCATGCAGGTGGCACAGCACTGGCTGGGGTTTATTTCTGTTGTAGAGAGCCAGGCCTTTTTTCCTACTCTGTTTTAGTGCCTCTCTTCCTAAGCTGTCTTAGTCTAGAAGCTCCACTGAACCCTGGTCAGTACTATAGCAACACACAAGCCCCACTGATAGGTGGGTGGTTGCAATGCATAAAGCTTATTGGCAAGGAATTGAACTCAGCTCTTTAGCATGAAAGGTGAGCATTACACCTTTGAATCATCACTGCGCCCGTGCTGTTTGTGGTAGTAACAGATAATTCCTGAAGTCATGGTTGAGTGTGGCTAGGTTGTATCTTTATAATGAATGGTCAAAGAGGGTTTCTAGGAGGAAGTGACTTGTAATCTGAGGTCCTCATGATAAGGAGCAGCTATGAGAAGACCATGAAGGGACATCCCAGGCCAAGGTTGTGAAGGGGATAAGTTTAGAGAAGGTAAGCTTGGAGAGAGGTAAATTTAGCGTGTCCTGAGCTGAAGGGAGGGTGCACTTTGCTGGGCCATTAGGAGTGGGAGGTGTGGTACGAAGAACGTGCAGAAAAGCAGCTCTAGACATTAGCTAAGAGCAGCAATCACTTGACTTCCTGGCATGAGTTCCGAGAGCAAGTTCACATAGCTACCTGATTGGACAGAGTAGAATTGCTGTGAGCTGGAATCAACAGTGGATTTGATTTGGGGTTTGTTATTATCTGACCAGGGCAGTAAAAAGACACTCCTAGCTTCCTGTTTGTGTTTTGAATACAAGTTTTATCATGTATTAACCCATAGAGGGATCCAGAACTGCTCCTTAATGTGCCCTATCTCCTGTATCATCCCTATCCCTTCCATAGCCCTGGGACCGTGGCCTACTTATCTCCTGCACATACTCCAAACCCAACTCAAACTAAACCTACCAGCTCTAGAGTGGATTCCAATGCATAGCAACATTATTGGACAGAATATAACTGTCCTTTGGCTTTCTGAGACTATAAATCTTTACAGAAACAAACAGCTTCATTCTCCACGCTCTTCCCCTGTCCCTGTCATTGTTGGTTCAC